ATCCAGTTATGCCAGCACCATTTGTTGAAGATGCTTTCTTTTTTCCGTTGGATAGCTTTAGCTTCTTTGTAAAAAGTCAGGTGTTCATAGGTGTTCAGGCTAATATCAGGGTTTTCAACTCGATTCCATTGGTCTACCTGTCTATTTTTGTGCCAGTACCAATCTGTTTTCAGGACCAAAAATCTATAATAGAGCTTGAAATCAGGGATAGTGATGCCTCAGGAAGTTCTTTTATTGTACAGGGTTGTTTTGGCTATCCTAGGTCTTTTGTTTTTCCATATAAAGTTGAGAATTGTTTTTTCAAGGTCTGTGAAGAATTGTGCTGGGATTTTGATGAGGATTGCATCGAATCTGTAGATTGCTTTTGGCAAGCTTGCCATTTTTACTATGTTGATCCTACCTATCCAAGATCATGGGAGATCCTTCCATTTTCTGGTATCTTCTTTAATTTCTTTCCTTAAAGACTCAAAATTCTTATGATACAGGTCTTTCACTTTTTTGGTTAGTATTACCCTAAGGTATTTTATGTTGTTTGTGGCAATTGTAAAGGGTGATGTTTCTCTGATTTCTTTCTCAACACATTTATCATCCATATATAGTAGGACTATTGATTTTTTTTAGTTAATCTTGTATCCTGGACCTTGTTTATCAGCTGTAGGAGTTCCCTGGTAGAGTTTTTTGGGTCACTTTTGTAGACTATTATGTCATCTGCAAACAGTGAAAGCTTGACGTCTTCCTTTCCAATTTGTATCCCCTTGATCTCCTTTTGTTGTCTTATTGCTCTGGCTAGAACTTCAAGGACAATATTGAAGAGATAGCGAGAGAGTGGACAGCCTTGTCTTGTTCCCGATTTTAAAGGAATAGCTTTGAGTTTCTGTCCATTTAGTTTGATGTTGGCTGTTGGCTTACTGTATATTGCTTTTATTATGTTCAGGTATGTTCCTGTTACCTCTGATATCTCCAGGACCTTTATCATGAAGGGGTGTTAGATTTTGTCAAAGACTTTTTCAGCATCTAGTGAGATGATCATGTGATTTTTCTTCTTCAGTTGGTTTATTTGGTGGATTACATTGCTAGATTTTTGAATGTTGAACCAACCCTGCATTCTTGTAGCCTACTTGATCATGGTGGATGATTCTTCTGATATGTTCTTGGATTTGGTTTGCCAGTATTTTATTGAGTATTTTTGCATCAATGTTCACGAGAGATATAGGTCTGTAGTTCTCTTTCTTAGTTGTGTCTTTGTGTGGTTTGGGTACCAAGGTAATTGTAGCCTTGTAAAAAGAGTTGGCAATGACTCTACTGTTCTATTGTGTGGAACAATTTGAGGAGTATTGGTATTAGCTCTTCTTTGAATTTCTTCTAGAATTCTGCCCGAAGCCATCTGGTCCTGGGCTTTTTTTTGGTTGGGAGACTTTTGATGAGTGCTTTTATTTCTTTAGAGGTTCTTGGTCTGTTTTAGTTGCTTATCTGTTCTTGATTCAATTTTGGTAAGTGATATCTGTCCAGAAAATTGTCCATTTCCTTTAAATTTTCCAATGTTGTGGAGTACAGGTTTTCAAAGTATGACCTGATGATTCTCTGGATTTCCTCAGAGTCCATTGTTATATCACCTTTTCATTTCAGATTTTACTAATTTGCATGTTCTCTTTCTGCCTTTTGTTAGTTTGGATAAATGTTTGTCTATCTTGATTTTCTCGAAGAATCAACTCTTTGTTACATTGATTCTTGGAATTGTTTTCACTTTATTGATTTCTGCCCTTAGTTTGATTATTTCCTGGCATCTACTCCTCCTGGGTGAGTTTGCTTTCATTTGTTCTAGAGCTTTCAGCAGTGATCTCAACTCTCTTGTTTGACTAATCTCTAGTTTCTTCATGTGATCACTTAGAGCTATGTACTTTCCTTTTAGTATTTCTTTCAAAGTGTCCCATAAGTTGGGGTATGTTGTGTCTTCATTTTCATTGAATTCTA